TACCTAGTACGGACAGCTACATTTGTTTTACATCTGGATGGAAACAAGAAGAACAAGAATAGTTAAAACAACGGTAGCTAGCTTGAACAAACTACCATAAGTAATTCTTGAACTATGTTGATTTGGACAAATACTACATGATAAAAGGGGCAACTGGTGTGATTTGGCCTGTAAGCCAGGGTTAGGAAAGGTGTGTTCACATGTTGGTGCCTTACTCTGAGCTCTTCTGTCACCTGTAAACAAACGCAACTAAGAGCACAACAGGTTTCTGGAAGTTAAACTAAAAGATGTTTAAAGGAAGGCTGGAGAGCAAATGGCCACATTACTGTTTTTGCCCGCCAAATGGGCGGGTCCCAGTAGCTCTGCCATCATGTGAAAATAATGGATAATTATAACTTCCACCTTAAAATTATGTAGTATGTAGTCCATTAATAGACATAGATTAATTAATTAATTAATGGCAGGACTTCTTTGAGGAGTCTTGAAGGGATGGGGTCTAAAAGTCACATTGATGGTTCGGAGGAAGTCATTACTGAAGCTAACTCAGAAAGATCAATTAAAGAGAAAGAGCCAAAGGAAATATTAATAGTTTTGAAGGTAGCTGTACATAATGTTTCATCTGTGAGATGGTTATGAGTATCGTTTTTGGCAAGAAGAAGAAGAATGTCCTTGGTTTGAAGCCAGTGTGGGCCTTTTTGTTTGGAGTTTGCATATTCTGCCCAATTCTACGTAGGTTCTCTCTAGGTGTGCTGGGATGTTCATACACACCAAAGACATGCTGGTGAATGTGAGTGTGAATGGTTGTCTGTCTCTATGTGTCTGGGATAGGCTCCAGCTCACATTATGGCCCATCCCCATGACGTTGAAGTGGACAAGTGGAAGAAATTGCCTGGATGGATATCATATAAAACATTTCTGTGACCACCACCAGAACTTATTATTCCAGGTTGGTTTTTGGATGTTTTGACCTTCAGTCTTTATCGCTTCCAAGCAGTACACATGTTGTGTGCCCATCTACAGGTGTACAATGTACAGCCCTGGCATTCTGTTTGATTTATTGAAGATTGTATTGCCTGATATGCTCATGTCATATTTTGCAAAGGGGAAGAGTCTCACTTCTAACAAAATCACACATACATGTTGCATCCAAGTAAAGTGAACAAGCTTTTTAGTTTTTTAACAAAAATCTCCAAATTTTGAGTAACATTTGAGCAACACATCAAGACATCATACAGAACAACACAGCCAAATGAGAGGAAGTGGAATAAGATTCAAGATACTGTTCTTGATGCATGAAACAGGCCTGTTTCATGCATTTATTTTTAAAATAATTCAGTTGAAGCATGGTTGAAAAGCTTTTGTCAGATGAAAGTTATTTCTGTGACCATTGTGGGTTTTTCTTTCATTGACCGAAGGGTACCAACAATTTTGTTCACGTCTGTATACATAGTTAGAATACATATACATAGATGTTGCCCACCTGTGGTAAACAGGAAGCTGTGGGTGGAAAGATTACTGTGTCTATGTACCGCATGTATTATATTCTGTCTGCAGTGTGCTGCCGGCAGGAAATGAGACATAGTCAGACGTGGGAACGGTGGGTGAAGCAAGCAGTCTAGCTTTTAAAAATTCTGTTTCTGTTTCTGGCTCATTCTGTGTGATGTGCACTTTCTTTTCTAGATAGATTTAAATAAACAAGATTCAACAGCACTGTGTTTTAGTGTTAGTTAAGCTGGATCATTTTAACATTTTCAACTGTACAGAGTGGAGAGAACTGACTTTAAAATAGTTGTAAATGTGTATTGCATGATCAGTGGAGGAATAAGAAAAACTATGTAAATGAATACTCACAAATCCATGTTCCACTTCACACAAACATGAAACTATTTGGACACAAATGTGCACAACTTGAATAAATTTAGATTCATACACAGATTTAGAATGCCCCTGATCCAGAAAACCACAACAACATGAAACATGACTATTACTCAGGTGAGCTTTTCAACAGTAATGTGGAAATGGCAGGTGCTCTATCAGTCATACACACCAACAGTAGAAAGATGCAGAAACTGCACAAAACAGGAATATTTATATCAGTTCATAGAGTTGAATGTTTTTTCTGTATCTGAGACTAATAACAAAGGCTATGATGTGACTAGTTTAAAGTTAAAAGGACCAATAGAAATGGAGAAGCAGTTTCCCTGTCTGTTGGTGGAAAGCATGCCTCGCACCACAGAAAACATGTTTTTAACTGTAGAAACTGTTGATGAGGAAGATCAAGTATATCTTTTTAGTTGTGTATCTAGAATGCCAGGTAGCTTCACTGATCCACTCAGTAACAAATTGATTGGTATGTTTGACAAAGCAAATAAAAACAAGGTGAAAACAATGTGTAGTAATTTTTATACTGACTTGGTAAATCCACACAAAGGGACCAATGATTTTATTAATACAGTGTACAGGAAAGCCCTTTTCTGTAGTTCTTAAACCAAACTGATTAACATCTGATTCGGCTACATGTAGAGTTCAATATAATCATGTTCACAGGAAGTAGTGAACATGATTAACTGAGACAGAGAAATGAATGTATTTGGTGATTAGACTCTGATGACCCATTGTGGCAGAACAGAATCCTGGTGGTGATTTAGGACAGGACCAACCCAGAGTCTTGGCGCTGGTGGTGATGAAGATGAAGACTGAGGCTTGGATGGAGGTCTGACTGAGGAGTCTGTAATGTGGAGATGGGGAGAAGGTGAGTGGCAAAAATGAGAGTTTGAAAATGAGGATGACGGAGAGCACAGATTTAAACTATGCAACATGGAGGCTGATTGGCCCAAAGAAGGCAGGAAAGAAAATGATTGGACTAGAGTAATGATTGACAGCATTGAAAAGTGATAGCAGTGTAAAGAACAGAAAAGCAGCCAAACACTCAGGAAAGCAGGCAGATGACCGATTACAGACATTCACTACTGAACTTGTGCATAAGCTTCATAAAACACAGAGAGCAAAATAATAGCGGCTCTACTTATAAATGAACTTTTCCAAGTCCTTGTGTTTGTGGTCTGGTTCTTTTCCTTAGTATCTTGACACATTAGCTCTTAGTTGCAGGTTCTGTCTGTATTGCATTTTTTGAGTTATTTGATTAGACCCTGTGTTAGGTCTAAACGTATAGACCTTGCTGACTCAGAGACTTATTCCCATGAACAAAGCAAGACAGAACAGCGATCGATCGGTTTTAACGTGCACAAGGGAAGCCTGGTCGGATTTTCAGAGCAGCACTCTGCCCTCGACCTCAAACGGCTCTGACCTTGGCTCCCTCTGCAGCCTTTTTGTTAAATACAGTTATAGTTTACACAAGCACCACCGATGGAAAAAACCCATGTGGTGTGTCAGGCACTGTGTGTGTGCGAGCGTGTGTGTGTGTGTGTGTGTGTGCGTGTGTGTGTGTCTCTGTGTGCGTGACTTCCTGGTTACAACAGTATTAACTACATTCTTAACATGACTACAGCAAGAAAACTGTAGTTTTTCACCCAATCTACTTATTCATAAACGTGACAATTTGCAGTGTTTCGAAAGGAGCATTGCAAAAAAAATTGGCATTTAAAGGAAGATACAAACAATCAATTGCTACAGCAAGATAACTACATACTCGCCTCTGTCAGTGCGCCCCAGGGTGGCTGTGGCTACAATGTAGCTGCCATCACCAGTGTGTGAATGTGTGTGTGAATGGGTGGATGACTGAATGTAGTGTGAAGCGCTTTGGGGTCCTTAGGGACTATTAATGCGCTATAGAAATACAAGCCATTTACCATTCTTGGTCATAAAAAAAGTGTCATCTCACCCCACCCCTACATACAGTTTAACCCCTCTAACGGTCCACCGTACACAAACACAGGTGAGGCCATAAACGGCAGGACGTTTATTAAACAAGGAAAAAGACACCTCACATAGGATGTGCCTGCAATTAAACACTCTAACCTCCCCCACCACTCAACAGGCCGGGGAGGCGGATAGGAACAAAAGAAGGTCTTTGATCATACAGTTTGAAGCAAGATCCACAGTTGTAAGCGCAAAAATGACAACATTTAACAATTCCCCCTAACACCCTGTTGTTTCTATTTAATCCTTGGTAATTCGGTTTGTTGTCCTAACACCTGGCAGTGTTCCTCTGTGTAAGCGTTCTGTTTTTTAACTTCCTGTTTTTAATTTATTTCTTTCCTTCTCCCGTGCCTTAGTGTTCTGTGATAGTTTGATTCAGCTGTGTCTTGTTTTCCAGCCATAATGACTTCCCTGATTCTGATTGGAGTTTGTTACTCTCTGCCTGTGACCTTTAGTTAGTTTTTGCTGCATTCTTTGGGTCCTTATTCTTACCCGGGGCCGGGACAAGGAGCCCAGACCTCCCTCTCCCTGCCCACCTCCTTCAGGCTATCTGGCTCCTTACAGTTTAAATGAATGATGATTCTAGCAAAGCACACGAGGCTTTAAAATGAACAATACTTTGTAATAAAAACAATACAAACTATACAAATAAGTATAGGTTCTACCTTACAGTTACAATTGTAGGGTTTACCTTACAATATAAAGCACTTTGAGGTGACTGTTGTTGTGATTTCGCGCTGTATAAATAAAATTGAATTGAACTGAATTAACAAAGCTCTGAAGAGGATAATTAGATGCAGTATATATAAAAGGGGAGATAATCATCTGTGATCCAGTTACAGACCAATTTTTCTGCTTTCCCATAATAAAGAAAATCATTATCATTTAAAGCTTCTTCTTCAAAGATCTTTCAGCAAACTTCCTGTTTATGACTTTTCTTGCTGTAGTCATGTGCAGGGGAAGGCTAACACCACTAACACAGAACATCAAACCCACCCAAAGTTGTTATTTTTTGTTCGTTTAGGGAGTGTAAGTTCTGATTGGGCAGGCAGCTTACAGCCCACCTACAAAGTGCCCCACTCTCTCACCCACCAACATGAGAGACACAAACAGACAAAGGAAGAAGCAGTGCTGTCTGTCCGAGCGTGCAGAGGTGTTCAGCTGCGAACTCAGAGCAAAGCAAACAGGTAACACACACAAACACCTGCTGCTGCAAAGGAATCACTGAACTATAACCTGCTTAAACTTGTACAGATGAGTCAATATGCTGTTCATGTCTGACCTACACCAACCTCGCACTGGGATGACACTCTGACACTTCTTTGTCTAATTTACATTTAACATTATCTGATTGAAGTTTAGTCTTCATTAACTTTAATACATGCAAGAGAGCCAAAGACAAACTGTTAAAATTGTCAAACCAATTTTTAGGAGCAGATATGCTATGTTTTTTAAACCAGTGCAAAACTTTTGTTTGGCTTTCAAAAGCTAATGTCACAATTTACTAAAAAGTAAAGTATCAGTTTTGTGACTGAAAGGTTTTGGCACGGCTGTTCTTACAGCTCTCCTCACTGCACTCTGACACCCGCCTGCATGATCGGTGCACTCTGCTGCTTACAGGCTTAGCTTTACACCCCTGAAGGCTACTGTGTAATAAAGCTTAAGCTGTTTTTGATCACTTTTGTGTACTTTTATGGAATAACTGACTTAAATGAGTGGCACCATCTAAGTAGGGTAAAATAATCCACTTCAGCAACAAAGAGATTCTTAAATTTACATGTAAACTGGAAGTTGAAACATTTAGTAAAGACTTTCTGTTGGTACTGGTAACCTGTGATGCCACACATCAAGGTCTGGGTTTGAATGTTCTCTTTATGTGAGGAGTTTACTGAGATGGAAGTGATGTCCTTTGTGCTTTTAACCAAACTGAACACCAAGAGAATTTTTTTCAATCAGTCAAAAAGACACCGTTCATCTCTCTCTGAGAAGTCAGGTAAAAACATACTTCTGGTAAGCTTTAGATCTCTAAAGATCTCTGCCAAAATTCTGTATTCACAAAACACAGATTTTGTCTTTTAAATGTTGACCTGTACTTTATTCATCCAGAATGTTTTACAAACGGATGTCAGTGTAACTTTACTCTTATTGCATTGTTGTTGTACTTCCTCTCTTCTTCCTATCTCATTAAATTTGAGGGATTCCAGTTGTGTCGTTTGTCAGCTCTTCTTCCAAAGTTTTAGGTCTGTTTAGTTTATTTCCACTGATTCAACCAAAGTGTCGAATAACTGTACTAACTGGCTTTTCACAAATAAAAGCAAAAAAAGAAAAAAGTTTAAGGGTGCCATAAAGTTTTTATGACTTTTTAAATTATGTTTGTACAAAAAGGAGTTCTGTGTCATTCGATGTTTCCCCCCTGCTTGTCTTGTTAATTCATGTTTCCCCAGTCTGTCATGTCTCTCTCTCACCCTCGCTCCCTCTCATCTGCCTCTTGTCCACTTGACATGTTTCTCAGTTTCCTGTTTTATTGTGAAAGTCTTGTGTTTGCATGTTCGGTGTGCTTCCCCGGTGGCGTCATGCTAATTCGTGTCAGCTGTGTTCCCCGTGTGTTCTCACTTCCCTCGTTATCCTTTTGTGCATTTATGCCAGCATCTCTCTCATACCTTACTGTCTGCCAGCCTGCATGCATGTCTAGTTTTTTTTTTTGTATTCTCAGTTTAGTTAATGTTGGTTTTCCTTGTATTCGCTGTTTTTTGAGTTTACTTTTTACTTGCTTGTCGAGTCTGGATTTGTGTCCCATCCTTCCTGCCGCACACAGTTTATGATATTCTGATGTCAGAGATAAGTTTTCCAACAGTGTCCATCACAAATGTAATATGGTAATAATAAATGTTATTTTGAACAAAAGATTTGTGAACAACTCAAAGAAATGTGTAATTTCTGAACAAAAATCAAAATGATCACACTAATGCTATGTAAATAATTTCTGTATTGCCATCTGAGCAAACCATCTTAATCTGCAGAGATCCGAGGACAAAGTACAGAGAAAGTATTGAGTATTCGCTGTTTGTCCAAAACTCTAATGCATGCCCTATGTCTTTGGAAATATGTGTTTCTAAAAGCAGGTTTAGAACAAGAAAGACTAAAATCTTTTTCTTTCTTCCCTCCAGTTCAATCAGTCTGTGGGATTTTCAGCAGAGTGACATTATGGCAGCAGCAGCAGCACCTGGTGAGTCCAGCCAGACTTCACTGGTCTAGATAACACACTGTTTAAACACACTATAGCCTGGTGAGATCAGATTCCGTGTTATACACTGTGAACTGACAGAAATGTGAAAACTGGTTGAAACTTTTTGGTTTTTGATCATTTCAAGACAAAGCAATGGTTCCAGTGTTGGAAATAAAAATATGAAAATAAAATAATTTTCTGTCTCAATAATTCTTATTGCTCATTTTTAAAATCATAAATAACACCGCACCCAGCTATCTTACGGATCTCCTCAGCTTTTATATCCCTGGGAGAGCGCTTAGATCAGCAGGCCAAATGCTCCTGATGCGACCTAGATCTCGGCTCAAGACCAGAGGTTGACCGAGCATTCGCCGCTGTCGCACCCTGCTTCTGGAATAACCTCCCTTTAGCTATTCGGGCGTCTGATTCAATTCAGTCTTTTAAATCTCGATTAAAAACTTATTTGTTTAGCCTTGCTTTCCCCGCCTCCTAGAGCCCACATTTTTAGTGTACTGGAACTTATCTTTATCACTTTGTTAATGTTTATAATGTTTTAACCTTCAGCCTTTCGGGTTGTGCCTACTATGCCTGGTGTATTATTGGTTAGTTATGTCACCCGCCTGTTAGTATATTTTATTAGTATTTTGTGCTTCATATTTGTATTTATTATTGCTCCTAACTCATTCTGTGAAGCACTTTGGCATACCTGTGGTTTCTTAAATGTGCTATATAAATAAAATTGTATTGTTAAAGGAAGAACAATTGTTTTTGTTTTGTTTTTTCATTTTGTATTCAATAATTACTTTCTTAACAAAGGAGCAAATGTTCATGCCATAAATCAGCCCTGAATGAAAATTTTTCTCATTACAAGTTTTTATTTGGTTAAAGTGAAACATCACATTTAGTAAAAATTGTCACTGCAAGAACAGTCAAAAAATCCTTGGAAGACACACAACAGAAAAATGAAAACAATAAACAAAATGTTGAATGCTGTATCTGTGCCTATTAAATGCATGTCCTTTATCTCCTCTACCTGCACTTAGTGCCATCTTGTCCTTTACAGAACGTGACATCACTGCTAATAGACTTATGTTAGTTTAATAAAACCAAAAACTCTGTGGAAAACAAGGACAAAAATTAAAAATCAGGCTAAGAGGTCCATTTTGGGCTGCATTACAAAGAAAAACAACTGAAAACCACTTTTACATGGAGTACGGTTTCACTCAGCTGCTATATATCCAAATGTGGTGAGAGGAATAAAGTAGATTCTCACGTGTACATTTTTTAACTCTAGTTATCTCAGAACTGCAGCAGAAGGTATTTTCTGTGGGATATAAGATGTAATGCACTTTAATCACATCTAAATTATTTGATTTTACAATCCACTATGGTGGTACATAGAGGCAAAATACTCAGAATTTGTCATCATCCAGAAACTAATGAACTCGGTCCTTATGAAACATGGTCAAAAACTTAAAATGTCATGTATGAGTAGGTACTTATTACCTTTTAATCCAGTGACAGATCTTTAAGTTTTTGCTTAGTACATTCAGTCAATTGTGTCGATTATTCTTATTTACTATTACAGATTTAAGATGCAGCACCTTGATATCTCGATACATTACTGGATAATGCACATATTCAACTCTGTATATTTTTATATATTTTATTTATTATTATTTTTTTACTATTTAATTTGTAAAATGTGTATACACACACACACACAC